TGATTATAAAAGAATCAGGCATTCATTGTACAGGAGTGAGTTAGGATATCAAAACAGACAAGACCAGAGAAAACTGCCTCAAGACATGCTATAATTAAAACCTTAAGTTTGCAAAACAAGGAAAGAATATTGAATGCTGTAACAGAGAAATGCTTTGTCACACACAAAGTATGCACACCAGAACACAGGGAGATTTCCCACTAGAAACTTTAAAATAAGGAGAGCCTGGAATGATGAATTGGAAGGGATGAAAGCAATTGAATACCAACCTAGATTAATCTACCTGGCAAAGTTATCACTTATGACTGAGGGTCAAATAAAAAAATTCTGTAATAATCAATTGTTAAAACAATTTATGATACTAAACCAACACATCTGAAATAGTGGGTAGAAATGGAGATCATACTGTTAAGAGTGGTAAGCCAGGTTCAGAAGGACAAAGGCTATATGTTTTCTCTCATATGAAGAAGCTAGACCCAAAATATAAATACATAATTAAACACACACACATACACATATACACACATACATACACATACACAACATATTTATAATTGTGGACTGTTTGAGATGAGACTAAGAGGAAATTGTTAGAGGGCAAAGAATATGAAAATATACTGTATCTGTCAATGAAGATGGCAAAATGAAGAGCGCTGAAAACTATTGAATTAAAGGGAATAGTGGGGATGGAAGAAGTGGAAGTAAACAAAGTGATTTAAATACTGTATATGCATGTATGAAATACCATGGTGAATCCCCTTTGAAGAATTAATATATGCTAAAATAAGAAGGACAGGAAAATAAAATGGGTTCTGACCATGAGGATGCTAGTAAGAGAGGGCAGGGAGTGTGAATGCAGAGGGTACAGAAAGGTGACTATAAAAAACTAATTTATTTGCATTTGTAAAAATGAACAATAATCTTGCTGATCTTGGTTTGGAAAAAGGAGGAGGTAAGAAGAGGGGCTGATTCTGGTCAAGGCCCATAGTATGCATATATGACCATCTCAAATGTAACCCTCTTGTACAACTAAGTAATGTTAATAAAAATATTAAAAAAGCAATAAAATGGAGTTCTTCAAACACATAAAATAATTTGAGTGATTTTCCTTTACAACATTTTATAATTATATGTGATTTATCAAACTAGGTTTTTGAGTTGTATAGTCTCTTATTTTTAATAAATCAAGTAAAATGTTCTAGTGTGAATATTTTCTTTTTATCTCTAGGAGACCATAAGAAGATTCATTTTGTTGGTAAATATACCTAAAAGATCATTATGCCACTTTGTGGTTTGAATAAATAGTTCACAAAATAATTTGAGTGGGTTTTTATGATTAATGTTTATATCTAGTGATACAAAGCTATGGAGCATTGTAAGTGGGAAATAAATGGTTTTATATGAAGTCTTAAGGATGTTTCTTATTGCATGTCACAATACAGAGTGGTTTACTTCTTTAAGTGTTGCTGATAAAACGGATGTACTATGATGCTTTTAAAAAAGCAATTAGGTTTTCACTGACTTAGTTCTGATAGAACATCTTAGGAAATTTAATTATGTCTCATATATTAAACATTTCCTTTTATTTGCTTGAGCAGTAAGGAATTGTACCTTAAAACATCTTCATAACACTAAAACATTATGACAAATACAGAAGAAATATCTCTGGGACAGGGAGGTTATTCAATGTTTTGTTGTCAATTTTTAAAAATGTAACACAGTGTTTGAGTCTCTAAGCATGGACGGTTACTAGATATTTAATAATATTTTTGACTATTAAATCATTAAAATTATAGAAAACTTTAACATGAAAATTTTCTTTCACTTTTCCTTCCTTCCTTCCTTCTTCTTCTTCTTTCTTCTTCTTCTTCTTCTTCTTCTTCTTCTTCTTCTTCTTCTTCTTCTTCTTCTTCTTCTTCTTCTTCTTCTTCTTCTTCTTCTTCTTCTTCTTCTTCTTCTTCTTCTTCTTCTTCTTCTCTTTCTTTCTTTCTTTCTTTCTCTTTCTCTCTCTCCTTTTCCTTTCTTCCTTCCTTCCTTCCTTCCTTCCTTCCTTCCTTCCTTCCTTCCTTCCTTCCTTCCTTCCTTCCTTCCTTCCTTCCTTCCTTCCTTTCTTTCTTCCTTTCCTTCTCTTTCCCTCTCTTTTCTTTTCCTTCCTTCCTTCCTTTCTTGCTTTCTTTCTCTTTCTTTCATCTTTCTTCTTTCATTCTTTTCTTTTCTTTCTTTTGTGTACCTGGCACTGTCTCTGAGCTTTTGTGCTAGGCTAGTGCTCTACCACTTGAGCCAAAGCTCCACTTCCAGCTTCTTGGTGGTTAATTGGAGATAAGAGTCTCATGGACTTTCCTTCTTTGGCTGTTTTTTGAACCATAATCCCCAGACCTCAGCCTCCTGAGATGTCAGGATTACAAGTGTGAACCACCTGGCATCCAGCTGAGACAGTTTCTTAATTAAAATTTTTTTACCTTAGAATAAAGAAAGATTTGCATTTCACCACCTCACCCCAGTTAGAATGGCTAAAATCAAGAACTCTAATAACAACAGTTGCTGGAGGGGATGTGGACAGAAGGGAACCTTACTTCATTGTTGGAGGGAGTGTAAACTTGTTCAACCACTTTGGAAAGTAGTATGGAGGTTCCTCAAAAGACTCCACATAGAGCTCCCCTATGACCCAGCAATCCCACTTTTGGTCATTTACCCAAATGCTTACAAACAAGACTACACTAAAGCTACCAGCGCGACTATGTTTATTGCAGCATTATTTACTATAGCTAAGATATGGAACCAACCCAGATGCCCCTCAGTAGATGAATGGATCAAGAAAATGTGGTATATATACACAATGGAATTCTATGCCTCCATCAGAAAGAATGACATTGCCCATTTGTTAGGAAATGGAAAGACTTGGAAAAAATTATATTAAGTGAAGTAAGCCAGGCCCAAAGAAACATAGGTCCCATGGTTTCCCTTATTTGCAATATCTAGTATATGTCTGAGTCAAGCAGAAAAGGTCAGATAAGGTGATGTTAGGGAAATGAACCCTAAGATATGTATTCAAATGTTTTTTTCTTTCAGGTGATTGTTTCTAACACATTTATAAGATTATTTCTTTGTTGCTTTGTATGTCCCTCCCCCACAGTATAATCCCTGCTTTCACTGTATTTGATGTCGGTATAATTAGTGGAGGGGAAGGGGAAAAACAAATCATTTAAATAGGGATACAGGTGGACCCATTGCAACAATGAGATGTACAAGTCATTATGTCGAAAACGAACTTTACAACTTTGGTGCAGGGGTGGGGGGGGGGTGGGAAGGATTTGGTGGGATGGGAGGGGAGGACAGGAAGGGATGGGAAGGGGAAACAAAGGAGGAGGCTACAATGCTTGATAAGAAATGTACTCATTATCTTGCCCATGTAATTGTAACCCCTCTGTACAGTATTTTCACAAAAAAAAAAAAAACAGGAAAAAAAAAGAATAAAGAAAGAAAAAATGATATAAGCTCAATTATTTTTTGTAGAGCTACCTCCCCAAATATTGTAATCATATTCTTTGAGAAAAGTTAGAAACAAATTTACTTATGTATACTTAGTAATATGTGCCTAATTATCAACATATTATAGTTATTAATATATTTGGAAATGATTTTTAAAACACATGTGTGTGTGTGTGTGTGTGTGTGTGTGTGTGTGTGTGTGTGTGTGTGTGTGTGTGCTAATCCTGGGGCTTGAATTCAGGGCCCGAGCATTGTCCCTGAGCTTTTTTGCTCAAGACTAGTGCTCTTTCACTTGAGCCAGAGCTCCACTTTTGGTATTTTGGTGGTTAATTGGAGATAAAAGTCTCATGGACTTTCCTTCCTGGTCTGGCTTTGGACTGATATCCCTAGATCTGAGCCTCTTGAGTAGCTAGGATTAAAGGCATGAGGCACTGGTGCCTAGCTTAAAACATGTGTTCTTAACTAAAAAGGTTGTATGTTTTTCCTCTGCTAGCATTGGCTACCAATTTTTGTATTGTCTCAACTGCACTTGCTAGCTTTGGCTACTGATTTTTGTATTGTATCAACTGCACTTAGTCTAAGATCTCTCCTAATCTGAGGAATACTTCCTACAGCTTCCCTTTGCCTACTTTTAACCTGACCTTCACCAAATTCTGTCTGCTTTTTGTTCATTCTCCAGTGTTCAGGTTCTGGCTTTCTATTATGTGTAAATTTTATAGTTTAATCCTTTCATGGAGGCTTAGTGCATCCATCACCATTTTTTATATTCTCATTTTTTTCTCTCTTGATAACTTCATGCTGATCTACTTTCCATATAAGGTTGGCATGCCTTCTTGAGCAGTTTTTTTTTTTCAGAAAGAGTACCAGGTAGTATGGATTGGACTAGCTCAATAAATCTTTTTTCAATCTGTCTTGATAAATTGCATTTGATCTAATAATTTGTATTCCCTCTTTTAAAGAAAATGCAAGAACTGTCAGTTTAATTTTCTAGGTTTTCTTCCTTTTGCTTGCAGGCTCCTCATTGTCTTCTGCATTCTATGTCCTTAGTTCAGATTTACACTTCTCATTACTTATCCTATTTTTTCTCAGAAGGAAGTTTGCATATAATGTTGTTCTAAAGTAACATTTCAATTTTTTCTCACTATTTCTTTAAAATTCTTGTAGAGGGACTCTTGTTTTCTTCCAAGGCCTCAGTTGGAGGTAGCCTTCCCTCCTCTGCTCCCTGAGAAAGAGTGAGGATGTCTCACAACAGAGTCTTGATTCCTAGGCTGTGTCTGCTCTGCGATCACAAGGATGAAGGTATCTGCTCCTTGTCAGTTCTTCCTGGTGGGAGGAACCTGTATAGAGGCAAATTTGACACATGGTGTCCTTAGATCTCTATTTGGTCACTGAGATCTGACACCCTACAGTTAGCCCAGTCCCTGCTGATCTGCATCTTCCCCAGAGCACTGGCCAAGGACTTGATATCTGCTTACACACTGTGCAGTAGAATGTTGCAGTCGGCACACAGCATGGACATGAGGAACCCTGCTCAACTCCTGGGGCTCCTGATGCTCTGGCTCCCAGGTGCCAAATGTGATGTTCAGTTGACCCAGTTGCCATCCATGTCCGCATCTCTTGGAGAGAGAGTCTCCATCACTTGCAGGGCCAGTCAGGGCACTAGCAATGATTTACATTGGTGCCAGCAGAAACCAGGGAATGCTCCTAAGCTCCTGATTTATTTTGCAACTCGTTTGCAATCTGGGTTCCCATCAAGGTTCAGTGGGAGTCAATCTGGGGAAGAGTTCACTCTCACCATCAACAGCCTGCAGCCTGAAGATGTTGCCACTTACTACTGTGAACAGAGTAATAGTTACCCTCCCACAGTGATACAAGTCATAACAAAAACCTCCCAGGAAAGCAGAAGTGAGAGGTTGGGCAGCCCCAGCTGCTCCTCCTGGGCCTCCACCTGCTGACACAGCTTCTCAGATGCAGCCAGACATTATGGTCACAGGAAAGTATTGGGAGAAAGGTCACGGAGATATCTCCACACCATAATTCTCTGTCCTTCTGCTCATCCCAAGCAGCACACATCTGCCAATGCCAGTTCTGACTTACAAGTAACACACATTTGAACTCAAGTGCAGTCCAGGTTGTATTATAAAATTATGTTCACTCAATAAAGAAAAAAATCTTTCTAGATATGTCAAAGCAGGTTTTAACAGCCAGGCAGTATAGTTGTGAAAAAGATTTTTGAAAAAAATAATTTGTATAGAAAAAAGTCACTAATTTTTTAAAGCAATTTTTATTGTCATGTCATAATTGTATTAAGTACATGATGTGCATACATTTTGCAATGTTGTAAATAATGTAATTAACAAGAGCACCTGAAACATTATCAATTTCTTCTACTCAGGGAATTTTTGTTCTTTAACAAATGATATCTTTGAAAAATATTCCAACATTTTAATCTAATTATCAGATAATTAATTTCTTTTTGACGCTTAGTGTCGAATTGATTATTATTTCTCAATACCATTGTTTCATCTCTTGAAAGCAGAACAGAATAATTATTTTATAGTAACTTGAGGAAATGCAAAGGAACAATCATATAAATTTTGTACTTTGCTTTAAAATTATTGAAAATCATTTTATTCTATTGCTTAATCTCAGGATGTTATTCAGAGCTCACATGGATAAGCACACATGGCTTCTGGCCTAGTTAAATGAATATACACATAGACAAATACAAATATGAAACTATGTGAATAACTAGGATGTATTTAGGATACTCATAGGACTATACAACAGGTACAGAATAGTGGCCCATATTGCATCAATATGTGGGAGAGTAATTTGAAGAAGGTCTTCCATATACCATACATACATATAATGTTTAATAACTTAACGTGTATCTTTATACATGGAGATATGTAGGGAAAACAGGGGTTGGATAGAGACGGACAGAGTAGAAAGATGAAAATTGTGACATTGATCCAGATACATTGTATTTATAAACTGTCATGTTTAATGATAACTCTTTTGTACAACTACATACAGATAATAAAAGTAGAAATTAAAAACAAAAAATGTGAATGAAAAAAATTCTTGTAGAGGTTATCCATAAGATCCCTTTATTCATTTGTATGTCTTAACTTCTTTTTGCTGCTCCTTTGGATTTTGCTTCCCCCCGCCCCCCCCCCCCCGCACCCCCCCCCCCCGCCAGAGATTACAATATTTTTTAAAAGAAAGTGGAAGTGAAATTACATTTAATTTCTTTTAGTGTCTGTAGTTAATAATTTTAGAGGCATACCTTTTATTCTTCTTTACCAATTCATACTTTTATGTATTCTTCAGTAATTTGAATTAATGTCATTTTAATTCCCTCCCTTTGTTCTTTCTTATAATGATAGTCGTCATATACTGAGTGTTTAGATACTATGCTGGATAATTTTATGGATGCGTACCTATTATTTCTATTTCATACAACAGTAAGTTCAGGTTTCTAGTAGAGAATTTAGTATTAAAATTCAGAGTGTTCAACATCTCTGGCTATAAAAGAAATGCAAATCAAAACAACATTGATATTTTACCTCACTCCAGTTAGAATGGCCATTATCAAGAAGGCTAACAATAATAGATATTGGGAGGGATGCAGCCAAGAGGGAACTCTATCACACTTAGTGCACTTGTTCAAGCACTAAGGAAGGCAATGTGGAGGTTCCTTAAAAACTAAATGTAGAGCTTCCCTATCACCCAGCAATCCCACTCCTGGACATTTAGCCAGTTGACCACAAACCAGGTGACACTAAAGCTACCATGTTCATTGCAGCATTATTTACCATAGTCAAGATATGGAATCAACCCAGATGTCCCTCAATGGATGATTGGATCAAGACAATGTGATATATATATATAATGGAATTCTACTTATCTATCAGAAAAAATGATATTGTACCATTCAGAAGGAAATGGAAAGACTTAGAAAAAATTATAGTAAGCAAAGCAAGTCAGAGGCTTGCATGGTTTCTTCATTTGTGGTAACTAGAATTTGTCTATAAATCTACAAGTAAATGATTAAAACACATATATGCTACATATACGTGTGTGTATATATAAACATACACACACACTGAGACATGATAAGTTATAAAAGACTCTAGACATTCACACACTGAAACCAAAGAAGGATATGCATAGGATTGGTTGGCAAAGGCTCAATAGCTATGTTCATAGGATCATATAAAATAATATTTTATGGAATGAACTCCAAGAAAAGGAAACAAGAGACAGTTTTTAGTTGCCATTGTTGCTGATTGTGTTTTCTTTTCCTTTTGTGTCGTTTGTATTTGGGAGGGTAACGGGGCTCAGAAAAGGTAGAACAGGGATGAACACATACAAGAGTAGTATCAAGTAGACACTATGTGAAAAATGCACTGTACATCTTGTGGGTGGGGATGGGAGGGAATAACTAGGAGAGAGTGAGTAAAGTGGGGGGGACATGGTTCAAAAAGAATTATATTCATGAGTCACTACCTGATTCATATAACTGTAAGCATATATACTCTAGCAACAAATTAAAAAATATAATTCATGTCAACTTAGATTAAAGATGATGTTTTTCCTGTGATCTCCAGAGTTAGGTAAGTTTTTCTCCAATGGATATTTATAATCTCAATGGTTGGATTTTATGTGTCCAACTTTGATACAAGTTGTGCAAGTTAGCTTTCCATCTTTGTATTAAAATACTTAAGACAAACAATTGGTTAAGACCAAGAGATTTGTTTTAGCTTAGAGGTTTCCGAGGTTTCAGATCTTGGTTGGTTGGTTCTGTTGTGTTTGGGCCTGTTGTACATCAGAACATCACGGCAGGTAGCTCATGGTGGATCAGAACAGGCAAATAGGGAAATAGATCTCCCTTTCCTGTTTTGATATATTGGTTTTTTTTGTGGTGAGAAGTTAGATCTAATCTTCATCTACAGAAATAGAAGCTGAAGAGAGAGTTACGAGGTAGATTGCTAGAGCTTCAAAATACAAATCTACACAATTTGAGGATATATTTTTGAATGTGTGACTGATAGTGTCTCTTCCCTATATCTTCTTTGATTGGCAGGTCATTATTTCTTACTTCTTAATAAGTTTGACCATTGATCTACAAAAGTAGAGTTACTGAAAAGCTCAGCTGGATTGTAATAGGTCTCTTATCAATCTTAATTTTGTCATTTTTCATCCCTTTATCTGTGTATTTTTAACAGATAGAGATGGGGGCAGGTTGCATCAAAGAATGAAAGCCAGCTGCTTTTCTAAATTAGAGCCTTCAGTAGTTTGGCCAACAATTCTTTATTTTACGAGTATGTTCATTTTGTTAATGTCTGTTTCCTAGAAATTTTAGGTTTATCTTACCTTATATGTTAGAACAGAGGGTTCTTTGGAGTTAATGAAAAATTCTGAATTATTGTTTTCTTTTTCTGCAGTCCTTTTTATTAGATTTGAAAAGAGGAGAATGGCCTTTGTTTCCCCATCACCACAGGAAAATGCGTATTCCTTCGAAAGAGTCTGCCTTCTTTCACATTTTCTTCTTTAGGCAAGACCTTCGCCTCATGTTTCTATGGGTGAGTAATTTAAAAACACCCTTAGGAATATACATGGTTTCCGTTGTTTTTTGTTTTTAAAATTCAATGGTGTCAAAACTTCAGTTTTCAAATTTTATATTTCTCAAACATCTTTCTCCACAATTGCTCTGAAATGAATTGAAAACAATTTATATAGGATTTAGAAGGGAGTTATTTCTTGGTGTGCACAAGTGCAATATTTCAATACAGATTTCCTATGTGTGTATATCTAGATATAATGTATAAATAGTCAATGATGATTAGCAGTTAAATACCTCTAATGTTAACTTCATATTCAAGGTGCAAAGAATTAGTTCTCAGATGAAACAGCAAGATCTTTCATCTTATTTCAACAACTCTGGGAGTTACAGAGTTAAGTTTATATAAGGTCAGCAAAAACAAACAAAAAAAAAGAAAAAAAAGAAAAAAAATATGTCCCTGAGTTTCTGGATCCCTTTCAGGCAGTTAATGACATTTGAAGGGCACAGTGAAGCTTCCAGAGGCTGCTTAATAATGGTGTTGCAACAGGTTGAGTTTAGAAACTGTATGAACTCAGTTGCCTTCCGTCGAATAAATAGTAAAGGAGAAAACATATTGGAGAGTAATGTCACTTGTGATAGTCTGAATAAAGTCTCCCCTAAAAGACCATATTTTAATCCCTGAACCTGTAGCAAAAAAGACTTTTAGATGTGATTAAATTAAAGATATGAGATGTACAAGATGCTATGTTGAAAAATGAACTTTACAACTTGTAGGGGGGTGGAGATGGGAGGGCAGGGATGGTAGGGGAAAAACAACGGAGGCAACAATGCTTGATAAGAAATGTTCTCATTAAAAAAAGATATTTGGATGAGTGATGAATCTGAATACTCTGGGACATGTTCAAAAGAGTCTTGGGGATCTTGAAAGGGAAGTAGGAGGTTGAAGTTTCAATGTCAAATAGGGCTACCTGGCTTTGAAGATGGAAAAAGATCATGAGTCAAGTAAAGTCAAGACAAGTTAAGAAAAGAAGATGCTTCCTTAAATGCTGAAGCCTGCTGTCACTTTTCTTTCAGCTAGGGAGATGCTTTGCAAATATCTGACATCCAGAACAATAAAGATAATGTATTTGTGTTGTTTTGAACTAGTAACTTCAAGGTAATTTTCTACAAAAGCCATAGGAACTAATATACTATTCACTAAAGACCTCTTAAAATTTATTTACATACATTAATTGTAGAAAAGGGCTTTATTGTGATATTAATAGCATGCAAATAATGTACTTTGATCAAATTCACTCTATATAACTCCATTTTAACTCTCACCAAGTTGTCCTTTAAAAAAATACATATTTTTAGTGGGTTTATTATGCTATTTTTTTGGGG